GGAGGTGTCGGAAACTCAGGCCCAGGTGATTACGCTCATAGGAGTTACGGCAGCTTCGGCGATTACAATTATGGCCCTCCAAGTGGCTGGTCTGAATCCTATTCTGACTGGTATGGCAGAGATACGCCGCAAACTGGGCGCACTGATGACTACGCCATAAGTGATGGAATGGGGCCATTCGGTGAGTCGGCTTCGCTTGTTTTATATTTATTCTCAATCCCTTTTGGTGAATTTGATTATTGACGTGAGTTAGATTTTAAAGTTACGCTCCTAATTAATTTTCAGGTATAATTATTGTCTTTTTTTAACTATTCCGTCGAGCGGGTCATAGTGTTCTATTCGGCCACTTCTGATATTATAATATAATCATATTCATATTTTAAAACCTGTTTTGTTTATTCGAATTTTAGATAATTTTCATAAAATGATAATTGACTTCAATTAATTGTCAAATGCTGTTGGCTCATTCAATTTTATAATTTATTTTCATAGATAAATATTTTGTACTTGTTCAACAATCCGACTGCAAAGTTTTGCGATCAGATATGGAAATTTTGACCTTTGCAAACTAAAAAATAGATTTAGACTTTATGCTAAAATCGCGTTTTCTCTTATGGCATGCTATCTCATGCTTTTTTGCTTCTCAACTGCACTCCTCATAAATTAGATTCGAAATCTTATTCCAATAGTTTATTTCTGGACCACATCCTACGTTATCTAGTCACTGGAAAATTGGCCCTTGGGTTCAAAAATAATTTGGAGATATATGATAACGTCGAGTTGAAGTACATTTCTGCTAAAATGGTTAGCTAGAATCTGTCTAATTGTCTAAGATCTACTTTGCATTGTCCCTGTTTCAATGATGGTCGATTAATTGTGTCTGTAGCTCTCGGCTCGAGAACTGTTCAGAATGCCTATTTCTTCTTTGTTGTATCTGGAGTTCTGACATTCTGAATTGTAAAGCATTAAGAGAATTAACATCACTGGGCTGTCTCCATTCCGGTTTAGAGTTGGGAAGCGTCAGGCGGCCTTCCAGACGAGAGTCTTCTATTGTTTACTGCTACAATTTTATTCTAATTATTTATCCCCATGTTACTCTGCTTCTTATTGGCATAAATAGGGATGATTTATCGTCTTTCAGTATA